TTCGTACCCTGAGGCGGAGTTCACAAACCGAGGTAAATTTTTGCGGCCGGAGCTGGTCGTAACCTGAAAAGTTCATTAACAGAGGCGTTCGTAACCTGAGGTACCACTGTATAGCTTATCTTTTTCTTCTAATGTTTCCTCTTTGGACTTGATTTTGCCATATACTGATCTTCTCTATTTTTCAGGGGTGGGGAATGCCTTCAAGTCAGTGTTGACTCCTGGTGACTGCCTGGACTAGTCCCTGCAATTTTCCTGGCAAGGTTTTTCGGAAGTGGTTTGCCATTGCCTTCTTCCTGGGGCTGAGAGAAAATGACTGGCCCAAGGTCACCCAGCTGGTTTCATGCCTAAGGCAGGACTAGAACTCACGGTCTCCTGGTTTCTAGCCTGGTGCCTTAACCATTACACCAGGCTGCCTCTCCATCATCTCTATTGCCCTCTCCTAAATGTTTTCCAGGTTGTCTGCAGTCTTAAATTATAGTAACCAATACTCCAGATGATGGTAACAGAATTGGCTCACCCAACATATAGGCCCTAATGTGATTGGCTTGGGCTTAGCAAACTATATAAACTTACACAATATCAGACAGGTGATGCTATCCCATAATGGCTTCTTCAACAAACCATGGTTAAAAGAAACAATGGCCTAGCATGATGAGTGCTCAGTGGCAAGTCAGCAGTAAGCTCCTGAAAGCAATGATTGGGTAAAAAGTAATTTGACAGACTTGCTACTCAGAGGTGTGGGACCTATCTAGAGTTGCAGGGAGGCAACTACCCTGAAGCTTTCACAGCAAAAGGATAATGTTTCAAGAGGTACTGAAATCATGGGTGGTAGGAGCAGAAATAGGCCATCTGTACAATAATTAAACAGGAATGGAAGAAGATAGAAGGTGGCTTCCTACAGGGCTGACGTTTTACTATAGATTTTGAGTGTTAATAAAGTTGGGGTGTCCTTTTCTTTTTGTTCTGGGGTGGCCCCAGTTAAAGTTAATAGCTTCTTAACTCCCAGTAAAATATTAATTGGCATAATCTCTGATGTCATATAATTTGTTGTTCAGTTCAGTTCAGATACAAACCCATATTGCCCGAGCTCTTTAACTGTGGCTTATCAGACCATTTTATGGCTTGGTGTGAGATGTGAACCGTCTGCAAAATTGATAGAGGCGATGACTGACCTGTGAATGTACAATACAACATCATTAACAGATTGATTTACCTTTTATCATGCTCTTTAATAGATTCAGCAAGTGTCTCAACCGACCAGGCAAAGAGCAATGGGCAAAGTCAACTCTGCCATAGCTCTTTGGAAATGGATAAACCATAGAAAGCAACTAATTGACTCTGGCATGCAGCCTATCTTTAAATCCAGCTCTGAAATCCAGGCTCAAGCAGAGGTATCCCTGTAAGGATACCAGAAGCATATCCTACTGTTAGTTGCTGGCCTTGCTTCTACTGGGCGCTCCAGCTGGTAAGAGACTCTCCTTAGATTTACAAAATTCAGTAACAATTCCTCAGAAGCACATGGTTGTCTCCAAGAGGACAGATTGAAAATCTGGCAGCAGTTTTGGTGAGCCAGATCCATATTAACTGAGTCAATTCACATGAGATACTTTAGGATCATCTTCTATTTTCTGTGCTCTGCTTTCAGGAAACCAGTTACCATCAGCTTGATCACTAATGACTTCCACACTCTGTTTGTCCTTTTAGACTGATGTGTGCTTACCTGTAAGGAATCCAAGCTGATCCTCCAAATGATTCTGTGAGTAATTTCATCCGACTCTCCCCAAGTTCTCATGGATTGCCAAAACACATCCCTTCATTCAAATAAACCTATGTTTATGCCATTGGTTTGATTAAGTATTTTTCTGGCTCTTTTATTAGCTCTTCTTTGAGGAAACACAAAACAAACAATGTGGGACATTACTAAATAGTGATCTGCCTAAGAATGGAAATTGTTGGCCAAATGCTACCTCAATATAAGAGTGAGAAACTTGTCCTTTCATTGCTTTCTCCCCATATCTTAGCCTGCCAGCAATGAACTGTGCTTAAAGGAAAAGTTGATTGCAGATTAGCCGGTGATGCCTCTAAATCAGTGTTTCTCAACCTTGGCAGTTTGAAAATGTATGGACTTCAACTCCTAGAATTTCCCAGCCAGCATACATTTTCAAACTGCCAAGGTTGAGAAACACTGCTCTAAATAAATCAGTCCTGCAGCAGGAGAATATGCTTCAAATTCTCTGTTCTCCTCTCTCCTCCACCCAATGATCACCTTCTACTCAAGAAGATCCAATTTTTATTTCCAGATTATGAATCACTACCTCTCTATTCTAAATGATGGGCAATTGGCTAGGAGAAAGGCAGTCATTGGAATTTCTACAAAATTACCCAGGTACAAACTCAATACTCCTTTCAAAATTCATATGCAAAAAAGAACATGTAAAAGAAAGTACACACGGTAGAAAGTATTTCTTAATTCCTTGGGAGCAAAGGAAAAATGAGTAGACATTAGATTTGTTGTTCAGTCGTTAAGTTGTGTCTTCCTTTGTTGTTCAGTCGTTAAGTATGGTCATGAACCATATTGCGCCAGGTCTTCCTGTCCTTCATCGCCTCCCTGAGTTTGCTCAGTTTCATGCTCATTGCTTCATTAGATAGAATTAATCTAATTCCCTAGAGAAGTGGAGTTCCTATGAGTCATCTCATTTTCAGGAAAGTACCGATGAGAAACTCTAGGGACAGTATGTTACTCAAAGTTTGGGCCCCATGGCTTGTTTATAAAGGTCTCCTTGGAAGAAATGTGGGAGCAGTTGATGTTCTGGTGAAACAATGCTTTGTTTCTGAGTCTATGGCTGCTGGAAGGGCACAATAAAATTAATCCATGGCTCCTCTCTACAGGAAGGTTTAGAGCTGGAAAGCAACTGTCACAATGACCTAAAATAGAGAACAAGGCACTGTTCAAGAGATGGCTTTTATTCAGCTATCTGAAACAATATGGGGAGAGGGTATCTCTGTTTGCCAAAGATTGTGTGACATGGAATGGAGGAGGACTGTTTTATTATCATTTATAGGGCACAAATGTGTGCTGTATGTTAGAAACAGTTCCTCTCCATTGACGTCAGAGCAGATTTATAAATCTCCTTCTGTAAATGATATATGTGTGTGCTCACTCAGTGTCCTTTATGTTCTGTTAATTATTAATCAAGCCTATTCTGGCCAACTTATTTCATTTTGGTATGTTCCAAATGATCATCATTCCAGCCTTTCTTAAAAACTGCATGGGTTAACTCTTGTGTTGTCCCTTCCAACTCGCTGATTCAAGGCTATATTCCAATTTCAAAGCAGGGAAGGGAGAAAAAAAACCAAAGTGGCCCCTTAACAAAATCCATAGTTTTCCTTTGGGGGAAATAATAGCTAAGAGGGGAGGGAAAACAAAATATAAGGAGGGCTTTGGCAATTCAAGGGGGCTTCTGAGTTTTCCCAGCTTCTGTGTTGAGGAATTTTTCAGGCTGTGTGTTTATGACTCATGCTGAGGGGGCTTGATCATCAAAGAAGTAGCTGCAGTTGTCTTCTGGAAGGAGACAATAATTTTTCAGAAAGCCACCTAGAGGAGGATAGACACAAATATAAACTTTCATTGTATTTGTTTTTTCTAAAGACAGCTGAAACTTTCAACTCTTCGTTAGTGTGATGAAATCATTTCATTTGGTTTCATCTTGAGTTTTGAGGACACAGGAAAGGAACTTTGGGCTGTCCAGAACCTTGACTGTGAAAAAGGTGTGCCACTCATTTCAGATGATTTCCTCTACCAGCTTAATAGCCAAGGAGGTGTTTGTTCGTTGCCAAAAGTTCTCTGTCTTTATATCTCCAAGTAGGGTAACTATATCTGGCCTGCATAAATCCAGCTGAATGATAGGTGATAGCAACAAACTTGAGTTTCTTCTATCTGTCAGCTGCCACTTAGTAGTCATCTGGACTTTTGCAGGCCAGATATGGTAGCCCTAAAAGCCAGTGACTGGTGCAAGCTGTCATGTACTGAGATGATAGGAGTGGGGATTTGAACTGGGTCACCTCATGAGTCACTTTCATCTGCTCAATTTCTGTGTGCCAGGCTATTAAAATCATAGGAACAGCCTCTTCCATCACTCAGGAATGAGTGGGTAGGAGGGTGATTTGGGGACCCTGATCATTGGCCTTCATAAATGCTACAGTACATGGAAAAATAATTGACTCCCTTATGGAAAGTTCATCTTCAAGAATGCAGCTTTATTCCTCCTCCGCATGTTGGAAATGTGTTAATGTAAACTGAGTTGCATTGCAAAACCTAAACAAAGGCAATCTGTAGAGACTTTGGGTGGGGGGGGGGTCATTGCCAAGGACTCTGATTAACCATTCTGTCCCTGGTCCAAACAAAGAGCAAAAGAGAAGGATCTGGAAATGGCAATGATTTAGCGGCCTGTTTTTCCCCCACCCCAGCTCACTTTTTGTTTTGTTTTTTTCCCTTTACAAGCGAGCTTGAATCACAGAAGGGCTGATCGCAAAGTAAACTATCTTAGAAAGAATTTCAACCACAGCTTCTCTATCCAAGTCTGATGTCACGCTGTGGTTATTTTTTTTACTGATATCAGGAAAAACAATCCTATGGCATTGATTTCTTGATCTGGTCTACCCAGTTTTACAGAAGGTGAAACTACTTTTCTGGCTATAATGATAGAATCTGTCAGCCCTTCAAGGAAGACCAGACCAGGAAACCAAAGTTATGAGTGCTAACATTTATTATAAGGCTGCACTAACAAAATCTTGCAAGTCTGAATGCACTTCCCCCCTCCCTTTATCTTCAAGAGCAGGGTTCCTCAACTTTGGCACCTTTAAGATGGGTGGACTTCAACTCCCAGAATTCCCCAGCCAG